ACAGTTCACTGCAATCACTACAGTACATTAGTAACATTCTATCAAGGCTTCATTAAATATTGATATTGGTATTGTTATTATTATTTATTTACATATTTATTTTTATCATTCCTGTTGTGGTCAGTATCTTTTTATCAGTAGGCATCATTATTATTGTTATCGTTCATTCAGATCCAGAATCTGAAGGTCTCAACATATCAGATTCCGATGAAACTCCTTCTGATAAGGCATCAACGAACTGGACGTCGAACTACACACATTACTCGTCAATGTTTCTCTCTTTTCTATGTTTCTCATTCTATATTTCTCTCTTTTCTGTAACTCTTTTCTATTTTCATTCTCTACTTCTCTCTGCATTTCATCGTACAGCACCGTGAGAAAGCTCTACAGCGAAACAGTAATTCTTCATTAGAATAATGGTATCAACAATTTCAACTTTATAAACGATAGCTTATTATGAGAATCCTTCTAATTGTTAGTTGTTATCGTCATTTGTTGATGTTTTAATTGTAGCGATATTATTAATACCATTATTCTTAATCCAATTACCATTTTACTGCATTGTCATTATCATTTTGTTCAAACAAACCTGTAATTGTTGCCGACTGTTGGATCCTGAACCATAGCTAGTTTTTTCATAGTGACCATCATATTCGCAAGTGTTTTGCAGCGTCTTAAACACTGATCAATCTGGGCAGATTCCTCTTTGATGAATCGCTCTTCACGAACAATTTTCTCCATATTGTCCCTTATTTTCACTTCCAGTTCTCGTTGTATCGATGGAAAATGTGCTGAAACAGAAGAAATGAGTGATAATAATGTGCTACGGACATAAATCAAATTATCAGTCAGGGCAAAATGTCGTGGTCGCAATCCATTAGCTCCAGATGAACAAAACAGCGTGTTACAAAAATGGTGAACACTGATTTCCAGGGTACTTCTGGATGGAAACAAAATATTGGTAGGGATGAAAAAATCGCCAAATTGTTCGGTTCAAGATGTAAATTTCGTATCGATCGATTCGGGTAAAGAGGTTCCACAACCAACTTTTCAGCCTAGCCGCTGTACGACCAATTTTAGTGAGCGAATTCGTGAACGATTCCACTTCGGTCATGCGCAATTTTCGATTTGTGTTCAGCACAAGTTTTCGTATCTCTTCGATATCCTCTTCAAATGATCTGAACTTGTTAATTGTAAGAAACTGGCCAAACAAACTAACAAGAGAACCAAAATGCATTCACAAATCTAACTTGAAACTGCATTCGAGCAAACGAATAACCAAACATTGTCACGGAGAGTATCAAGCAGATAATTTCTCTATCACTCAACAAATCAACATCTTGTTCTTTCAATATCCGAATGAATAGCTCAAGATAATCGCGCAGTTGGAAACGAACTGCAGTGATTTTTGTAGACCCGTAATTCGAGCCACATGCTCTGATTTCATCATCTCAATTGCGCTATCCTCATCGCGCGCTAGTGTTGCCATCCCACCGAAATGATCCGCAATATGATGCTGAATACGATCGAATGCATCTCTCAAAATATCCCTTGAATTCTGTGCGTTCACCTGAAATTTTTTGTCATCAGGAGTGATGATGCAAGTTCGCAAAGTACACATAAATTCTTGCTTTCCATCACTATTATAGTAAATTTGAAATTGTTGATTAGAGCTCTTCAATAAGTATCATTCATATAACTGGTACAATCTGATAGTACAATATGAGCGTTCCTTGAAAATCCATCCGTTCATCATCTCAGTATGATCGTTCGCTCTCATCTTGGTTTTATTTGTGCGTTTGTTTTTATTTTGAAACTGAGAGCATTATTCTAAAACACAGGAAGTGACGAATTTAAAGAGCTGAATCTGCTGTAATGAACAAATCAATCGTATTTACAAATATTCATTGATAAGGTATTTCTCAAGGAATCAATGAAGCGACCTGAACAGCTCTGCGTATCTGCTTCAACTGTGTGTGACTATCGGCAGCTTGACGCCTCAGTTTCAGAAGCTCTTGCTGTGCTTCGCCACTCAACGATACCGTGTCCGGTATTGATGGCTCAGCGCTGCTCGGTAGACTGCTAGCAGAATTTACTGAAATCCTTCATTTGTTCTACTCACAATGGGACAAACTTTGTAGTTGCTCATATAATGTAACATTGTAAATACAGATTTTGTATTTACGATGGATATGATTTGAGACAGTTACGGATCAGAGTATAAAACCGAACGAATGCACTCAAACCAAAAAACTCACTATCAGGATGCAAGGCAAGAATCTGTCGTCTCAGCTCGTGCATATCACGTTGACTTGTTTCGCTCATTCCTTTACTCACCAATGCCGAATGTACCAATGATGATAAACCAGCCAACTGACGTTCCATTGTTTCCATTCGAAATCTTCAATTATCGCATAATTTTACAGTGACCGATTGTTCATGATTGTTTACAGTTTATAGAATATCCACACAAAATATGCGGGAATTTGAGAATTAAACGTTTCTGGAAATTCAGAGCGATATTGCGATTAGTTAGGTGAATAATGAATTCAGAGTCAATTGAGAAGAAAGTTTTTTTGAGAGAGAAAACTGCGTCACATCAGACAACCGAAGGAATTGTGAGATCGGAGATGGTTATGAGATCAAGATGGGTCGGTCACTCTCGGTGAGTTGCATCAATGAAAATCCACAAACCCCACAAAACAAACAGATGCAATCAAAACGCTAAGATCATTTTATCCTACCTTGAGCTACACTCTTGTTTAGACCTGAAGAT